CAAGATCGACAACAAGATGAAGGATCAAGTAATCAAACTGCTTAACAAATTTAAAGATTGTTTTGCATGGGATTACAACAAGATGTCTGGTTTGAGCAGGGAAATGGTAGAAATTAGACTACCTATAAATCCAGGCAACGACCAGTCAAACAAATGCGAAGGAGGTTTGCACCAAAGGTATAGTCTAAAATAAAAACAAAGATTGAACGGTTGTTGAAGAGCAGATTCATCAGGACAACCATGTATGTTGAATGGTTAGCCAATATAGTGCATGTAGTAAAGAAAAATGGAAGTTTAAGAATTTTCATAGATTTTAGGTATTTAAATAAAGCCACTCCAAAGGACAAATACCCAATGCCTGTGGCAGAAATGCGGGTCGATTCAGCTGCAGGATATGAATATCTAAGTCTTTTGGATGGATATTCAGGTTACAATCAAATTTTTATCGTTGAGAAAGATACCCATAAAACTGTGTTTCTATGCCCTGGGGCACTAGGCACATGTGAGTGGGTAGTCATACCTTTTGGTTTGAAAAATGTCGGGGCTAATCAAAGGGAAATGAACTCAATGTTTCATGACTTTATAAAAATCTTCATGTAGGTGTACATTAATAACATTGTAGTCAAATCGCCCTCAGGGGTTGGTCATTTAGACCACCTTTGACAATATTTTGTTAGAATGAGGGAATATGGATTAAAAATGAATCCACTAAAATGTGCTTTTTATGTTCATGCAGTAGATTTTCTGGGTTTTGTAGTACATAAGAAGGGTATAGAAATCAACCAGAACAAAACCAAGGCGATTTTGAGTACCAAAGCGCCAGCAACAAAGAAACAGCTTCAATCACTGTTAGGAAATATAAATTTCTTGAGACGATTCATGCCAAACATGAGCGAAAAGACTCTGGCGTTTTTTCCGTTGTTAAAACTAGGCAAAGAGTCTGAGTTCATGTGGGAAAAGACCATCAAGATGCATTCGATCATTTGAAAGACTACTTGGTGAAGCCTCCAATGTTAGCACCCCCAAACAGAAACAAAGGCATGAAACTTTACATTGCAGCGTCAGAGTCGACACTAGGAAGCATGCTAGCTCAGGAAGATGAGAATGGGATTGAAAGAGCCATTTATTATCTCAGTCGAGTTTTAAATGACGTTGAAACTAGATATAATGCAATTGAAAATTTTATTTATGTTTATATTTTTCATGTACTAAACTCAAGCATTATATAAAACTAATTGAAGTTTCTGTTTATTCTCATTTGACGTTATTAAGCATATGTTATCTAAACCTATTTTGCACAGTCGAATTGGAAAATGGGTGCTAGCATTAACTGAATATTCCTTAACGTATGTTCCTTTAAAGGTAGTCAAAGGGAAAATTATTGTAGACTTTATAGTTCACCATTCATTGGTCGATATCAATGAAGCCTATGTAGGTACTAAGTCTTGGCAATGCTATTTTAATGGTTCCAAACATAAACAAGGAACTGGGGTAGGTATTTTTATCTTATCACCAGATGGAGTTCCAACTAGATTTCATTATAAGATTAAAGGCGAATACTCTTATAATGAGGCTAAATATGAAGCTTTATTAATTGGACTGCAAATTATGTTAGATGTGGGAATCAAAGACGTTGACATCAAAGGAGATTCAGAGTTAGTGGTGAAACAATTGACCAAAGAATACATGTACCTTAAAGATAATTTGGTAATGTATGTAAGCATTTTTGTTATTTCGGAAATTTGATAACGTGTCGATTAGTCATGTGAGCCGTATTGACAACCAAGAAGAAAACGACATGGCCCAATTAGCGTCTGGATATAAGATACCCAAAGAGAGCATAGACGAGTTCATTGAGGTAAAATATAAATGGTGTTTAAGAACACACAAATGAAAAAATCTTGGGGGGCAGAGCCTGAAGTGATCCCTGATCTCCTGAATTATGATTATTTTGGAAATTTTGAAATAGAAAAAGAAGTTTTTTCCATTGATGCGTTAGCTGAGAACGACTGGAAGAAACCTATAGTCGACTACTTAAAAAATCCAGTTGGCTTGACAGAGCATAAAGTTAAGTATATGGCATTAATTTATAGAATAATGGGGAACGAATTGTTCAGGAAAATGCCCGAAGAGGTGTTGTTAAAATGCTTAGGGGAAAACAAAGCATATGTGGCAACATCTGAAGTACATAGCGGAGCTTGTGGTACACATCAAGCAGGACCAAAAATGAAATGGTTGTTATGTCGAACATGAGTATATTGGCCGACCATTTTAGAAAATTGCATTGAGTTTGCCAAAAGCTACCAAGAATGCCAAAAACATTCTGGAATTCAACATATTCCAACTAGTGAATTACATTATGTCATCAAACTTTGGCCTTTCAGGGGATGTGCTTTGGACGTTATAGGAGAAATTAAACCTGCCTCATCGAAAGGACATAGGTACATATTGGTGGGCATTGATTATTTTTCAAAATGGATAGAGGCGGTCACTTTGGTTAAAGTAGATCAAGAGGAAGTAATGGCCTTTATTCAAAATCAAATCATACATAGGTTTGGGATACTAGAAAATATAACAACTGACCAAGGAACCGTGTTCATAGATCGAAAAGTAACTGAGTTTGTTGTAGAAATGAGGTTCAAATTGTTAACATCAACATTGTATTTCACCCAGGAAAATGGGTAGGTCGAAGTATCAAATAAGGTCATTATATGTTTGATCAAAAAACATGTTGGCCAAAAGCCTAGAAGCTGGCATACAACTCTGAGCCAAGCATTGTGGGCATGTCGAAACTCACCAAAGGAGTCGACTAACACAACACATTTCAACTTAGTTTATGGGCACGAAGCAATATTTCCTCTAGAGATTCATCTACAATCAGTGAGAGTGCAAAGGAAATCAGATATTCCTACTGAATATTACTGGGGAATGATATATGATATGTTGGTAGATGTTGAAGAACATAGGGTAACAACATTAGATACTTTATTCAAGCATAAAGAAAAAGTAGCAAGGACCTATAATAAAAGGGTGAATGCAAAGGAGTTCATCGTTGGAGATATGGTTTGGAAAGTGATCCTCCCTATGGATAGAAGGGATAAAGTCTTGGGAAAATGGTCACCAAATTGGAAAGAACCATTTTGAGTAGTGCAAGTTTTTTCTAACAATGCTTATGAGATTGAGGAGCTCACACCAAAAAGTCGAATAATGGCAAATACTTAAAGAGGTATAGGCCTATGTTGCAAGAAGTTATAATAAACGTGTTGTAACCAGTTTTAAATTTGAGAATCGCCACCCTTAATTTTTATCCTAAGGAAGGGGAATATAAAGGATAACCCTAAAAGTTAGAGATTCTAGGTTGTTGACTCGGTTTTAGACGAGGGGAAGGTGTTAGAAACTCATCATCTACCTTGTTCACAAGGATACTAGTTTTAGAATTAATCTTTAGGGAATAGGGTTTTTAGTATTTTATTAGGGGAACTCGCCACGATTTTAGTCGTATGCCTACGTATCCTCTTATGAGGAATCAGAGTCCTAATTCATAGTTCACAATTTGGTTGGTGTTTTTTAGAGGATTGCGTATAATTACTTTCGATTTTATCCTTGAAACTTGTTTGGGTTTTGTAAAGGAGTGATCATAGACGCAGTTCGCAGTTAATTTCGATAACAATTCTCCTTAATTTTGAAAATGCTCTTGAGTTTTGATTATATTAGTAGAAAATGATTTGATGTTGGTTAGTTGTTTTGAGACGTAGAACGGGGAGTATGATATAGTCTCATCATCATGTGGTAAGATATTGGCCAAGTGTCGCTCGCAGATGGTGAATTTGGCGAGTTGCATGGATTTTAATTGTTTGATTTTGAATAATAAACCAGTAGACGATGTGTCGACCAACTTAATTACTCGAAGATGGACATCTTATTATTATAAAACATTTTGAATTACTTCTTTTATTTAAGAAAATATTTGATATTTTTTATAATTCCTAAATCAAATGAATTAGTAAACTAAATAAACTTGATTATCATAAACCTAATTACAATATTTATAATAATAGTAATAAAAAATGAATGAGTTAATTAGTTTGATTTAGAAAAAAAATGAAATCATGTGATGAGTTTATTTGAATAGATATAAGGAGGTTTAGATCTATTCGGGAGAAATCCATCAATTATTGTATAAACTGATAATTTAATTAACCTAAAAATTAATTTAATTAATTAGATTAAACTAATTTAAATAGATTGATTAAATAAAATAAGTTAATCGAATAAAATCTAAAAGAGGTATCAGTAGTATTAGAGAATTAAATTGGATAAGACTATACTTTGAAAGCCTAAAATACCCAACCTTTTCTAAACCCATAATTAATAACAATACCTAAAAAAATAATTAAATATATGATAAAAAAATATACCATAATTATGGACATGCGCCGTCTGTAGTTGTTGTTGATCCACTTTCAATTTAAACAGAATAAACAACAAACAAAAATTTAGCATGGTAAAAAAAAGAGAGAAAAAAACAAAATATAATAACTTATGATATAATAACAAAAGGAGAAAATAATATAGAGACAAATCTTCTTTCTCTCATATACCATCCCTTCCATATTGCAAGATGAGAAAGAACAATAGATGATAAAATTATATTAATTTAATTCTCTTATTTATTCCAAAACAATCATTATATGCATATATGATTGGAGTGATAGAAACAAATATCATTAAGTTACTTATCAACAAAAAAAAACGTATAGTGTCACTTTCTTTGTTTAATTTATTTGATAATTTTTCAATTATGCAAGAACCAATGAAATCGTGACATGTGGTCATCATCATTAATAATAATAAAAAAAATAAAAAGACATGTACAAACTCAAACCTATCAGTCTTCTTTCTTCATGGCTTTGCTCTTTCTCTTCTCCTTCTTTTAATACTTTCTCCATAAAACTCAAAAATCCATGGAATCATAAACAAATCCAACATTAAATAACACCATGAAAGTAAAAGCAGAAACCAAAATTCACCAGTTTGGATCAGATCCGCCACGGAGGTCATGGTGGCCTGTTGGTGTTCATCAGAGGTCCAGATCCGTCACATTTTCGGTGGATCTCGCGGCTGACGGTTTATGTTGGAGCTGCTCATCGGATTCTTTGTACGGAAGAGCTTTTTGTGTTCTATTTTATTTGTCTCTGCAAAAATAAATCTATGTACAAGTATTGTTAGTTTATGGTTTTATGGTGTTGAGTTGTTGTAAAATTATTTAAAGGTTTAAAATTGCAATTGTATAGAGAACAATGATAATGAATTTGTAGCAAAGCTTTTTGTGCGTGTTTATGAAATAAGGTTTTTGTGGTTAAAGAGTGTTAGAACAAAAGTTACACCGTAAAGTAACGCGTAATTATGAATGAAATTGGTTGATTTATGATACAAAAATAATTCAGATAATATCATATGGTTAAAAAGCTTAACTGAAAAAATGTTACAAATAGTTGAAAACAAAAGTGTGTTGAAAGTCGAAAATCGTGGAATTTGTGAGAGTGATTTGTCTATTTGTGATTGTTTCGTGTCAGCGTTGGTTCCAAAAGAAAGTTATTTTGATCATGAACGAAGAACTCACTCATATTAGAAACCAGTTCAATATTCTAGGGAGTTGGAATGTGTTCAGAGAGATGGCTTGAAGTGGCCATGGAGATGGTTGAAGGTTTTTCTAGGAAAAAATGAAAGTAAGAACTTCTTAACGGAGAGCCTTAGTATGCAAAAAGAACATAAAAAGGAAATTGAAGAGATGAAAGGGGTATTTATACCATAAAGAAAACCAAATGTTTAGGAAGAAAGTGGGAAAATATGGCTACACGACCAGACACGTGTCAGGCAGGCGGCGATTGATTGAAGAAGTTGGTGAGTTGGGGCCACGTTTATCTTAGGAAGTTGAAGCTAAAAAGTATGGAAGTGGTTGTGTGATCACAGACGTAACGTTTGAGCGAAAAGGTTATGATTATGATGACGTCATTTTTCACTAAGAGAAGAGAACTAAAATGTTTGTTTCTGTTCTTTCAATCGAAAAGGACATTTTGGGGGGAAATTTGTTGGCTAGGATTTTTTCATACATATTAAAATCTAACCAAAAGCTAAAAAGGTGCTTTGAGAACTTTGAATTATGAGAAGTCGGCCACAGAAGCAGTCGACCGGGAGAGATTTCATAAGTAGTCAATTGGGCTTGTGGACGCAGTCGACCAGACAGAGGCCTCATGAGGAATGAATTGGGCCCATGAATGTTAAAAAGCCCAAATAGTGCATAACTAGCAAAGCAAAGTGTTATGAATGGAGAACATGGATTTGATAGCAGGAATGGATAACGTGGGATCATGGAGAGAAGTTACCAGAGACACGTGGCGTACAAGGAAGCGAAGCCCGCCAGAAAGTAGTTATTTTTCATATATTATAAATAAAGAACTTAGTGCATAGTGTAAAAGGTTCAAACTTTCACATTCCTATACGCTAGTCACTCAGAGTACCCAAGCGAGCGAGCGAAATGAGTCAAGCTAGGGCAATGCACGTTTGAATCAACCTATTTTCAACTGTTTTAATGTTATGTCATTTATATTTACAATTTAAAACGTTTTTTTGTTTTATTTTACATGTCTTTCTTTATTGCTTATAAACTCGTTTGACACTAGTCGAACAAATATTTTTTAACATACTTTATGAAAACACTCGAAAACTAAAGCACGGTACTGAGTTTTTTTGGTCGATTTCGCCAGTAAACTTTTTGTTAAGAGACCAGCATTGTTTACCAAAACCAGAGGTAAACACTATGTTATTTGATTCCTGAAAGGTCTCAATGAAAAATTCAGCAATACCAAATCTCAGATTATGCTTTTGAGTCATGACCTAGTTATTGATAGAGTTTTCTCTTTGATTATTCAACAAGAAAGATATCAATTTAATCCTCTTCTTGATCCAACTCAAATTGATATCTCAAACTCCTTTGCTCCTTCTACCATTCTTCTTGCTAACTCTCACCAAGCCAAATCCATCCAACCTAATTTATGGAAATGGACAGTCCATCCTAAAGGATCTAATAGAGTATGTAGTCATTGTGGAAGGACCAAACATACAATTGAGACATATTTTTCTAAACATGGTTACCCTTTTGGTTTGAAGGAAAAAGGGAAGGCACCTCAGGCCATTTCCCAAGCTGATTTTAGACCGATTGCCAATGTTTCAGGCCCAAATTCTTCTAGTTCCAAGTCCTTTGGCATTACTCAATAGAAGTATCAAAGTCTTCTTGACTTACTACTACAATCAAAAACCAATTTCAACCCCAAATTCAGTGTAGTTTTAAGCCCACCATTTGCATTGACCTCTAATTCATCTACTAATAGTGGTAAGAAATATCATATTTGAATTTTAGATAATGGTGCGACTAACTATAATACATTTACTCTCACCTTTTTTTGTCATATACAATCACCAAGCAAATTTTTGTTTCCCTCCCTAATGGCACCACTATTTTTACTCACATTTTTTATACTTTTATGATTTCACCCACCCTTAACCTTCAAAATGTTTTATACACCGCATCCTTTCATGTTAATCTCATTTCTATTACTAAACTTTTCAATTCTAATGACTGTTTTGTCCAATTTAGCTCTAACTATTATAAAATTTTGCTAACTGGTACTAACACAGTGATTGGTATAGATAAATTTTTGAAATAATTTTATATGACTGATACTGCAAATATTATGTTTGATCATTTTGTGTACACTTTGGTATCTACTCCAAATTACACTTTATGACATTATAGATTAGATCATACTGACTTGCATGCCATTTTAAAGTTTTTCCTTTTGTATATAGTCGCAATACTTGATCACTTTGCGATTCTTGCCATTATGAACGAAAAAAAGAAACTTTTTTATTCTTTAAGTACTAATTCTTATTATGCACCTTTTGATTTATTGCATGGTGATCTATAGGGTCTTTTCTCCACTTTATCCCTTTTAGGCCACAAATACTTCCTTACTTTAGTTGATGACTTTAGCAGGTTCACTTGGATCATTTTCCTTAAAACCAAAGATGAAACCAAAACACACCTCGCATATTATATTTCCTATATAGAGAACCAATTCCGTACCATATTAAAATAATTTAGAATTAACACTGGAGCTAAATTCTCTACACACCCCTTCTTTCACTCTAAAGGCATACTTCACCAAAAATCTTGTGTTGAGACTCCCCAACAAAATGGTGTGACAGAGAGAAAACACAAAGAAATTCTAAACATGGCTAGGTCCCTTTACTTTCAATCTAATCTACCCTTAACCATGTGAAATTGTAGCACATACCATGCTATCTACATTATTAACATATTACTTACCCCTCTTCTTAAATACAAAAACCCTTATGAACTTCTTTAAAATAAGTCACATTCTCTTATTCACTTAAAAGTCTTTGGTTGCCTAAGTTATGCAACATCCTTACACATAGAACTAAAATTTACTATAGGGTCAGGAAAGCTATTTTTCTTGATTTCAAAGATGGCACAAAAGGATATATTTTGTATGACCTTAACTCTGATTAATTATTTCCTTTTAGAAATATCATCTTTTTTATACTCAATTTACCTTCAAATCAGTTGAACCTATGCCACCCTCCTCTTTAAATAAACCTACTAATTCACCACATTTCTTATTAAATGACTATGTCCCTGATTTTATAGAGATTCCGTCTAACAATAAAGCTATAGAGACATTGTTTTCTCTATCAGAAGAAACAATGAACCTGATTAGAAGAGAGATTTTATTTGGTTAAACATATTTCTCTCAAATAAATTGTACAAATCTGTCATTGATCAACGTATTATTCTCCTAGTCACAAAAATGAGTCGATAAAAACAATATCTTTGGTTGATAGGAGACATAAAACACTTCAACAAATATATATATATATATATATATATATATATATATATATATATATATATATAAGGAATAGATGACAATATAGAAATGAAACAATAAGGAGGCCTATTTATCTAAAAAAATCTAAAAAGCCACTTAAAAAATAAAGACATATAATACATTGACTAATGTTCAAAATCACTAGCCAACGTAAGTGTATTTAGGATTGTAGAATTTGAATTTCCACCAGCCACACTAGCCAACTGAAGTAAATTTTACATTGTAGAATCTAAATGTTCATTAGTTACATCGGTCAACTGAAGTGTATTCTGAATTGTATAATTTAAGTTTGTACTTTGTGTGTAGAGTAATGGAAAATAACTTCTTCAGCTTCCAATTCAAATTCTAAAAAACGATAAGAGTGATATTCCAACGTAGTTGATTTGATGAATATTTTTATTATCACTTAACTAAATTAATAATATATACTATATAGTATAGATAAATATTTACGTGACAGTTTTATTGTATATCACATCTTTTTTAAAATAAAAATAGAAATATTTAATAATGAGTTGGATTACACATTAGTAATTGACTTGGACTCAATTTTAACAATCAGTTAAATATTTGGGTGAACTTGAAATTATTCTTTAAAAAAGTCGGAGGCTCTTCGAAATCAAAACTGGTTTTACAAAGTTGTACTCACTACTAGAAAATTATATTTTAGTTGTCTGGATTCAATGCTGGCCACCGACGCCAACACTAAGTAACACCAGTAGCGTCGACCTAGCCCGCACTATGTCCACGCTACAAGTTTTTTTTTTATTTTTAATTTTTTAATTTTATATTAATTTTATTGATTAATTAGACACGACCAATCCAACGCTATATATTTTCAAGTTTTGAAATTTTTTATGACAATTTAGTCACGGACTCTCCGACGTTAAATATTATTTATTTGTTATTCATATTAGCGTCAGTGTGACCGACGCTACCTTATAAAGCTTAAAATTTAATAGCTGGAAAAATATTAATTTTCTCTCATTTTTTTCGTCTAGTGCTAATAGTTTTTCCTTTTTAATTAATTATTAGTGCAATTAGATCGACGCTAAGTACTCATTAATTTAATTATTTAGTTAATATATTCAATTATTTATTTATTAAATATTAGCGTCAGTAGGGTCGACGATATACTAAATATTTGATAGGTGAAAAAAATATTTCATTTCCCTCTTTTTTTTTTCTTCTAGCGCTAATTATTTTATTTTTTTTATATATTTAACTATTATTGT